TTTTTTACACTTTTTTAAGGGCATCTGCATACAGTAATATCATATTTATGTCAGTGCTTAGATATTAATTTTGCTACTTTTACGTGCGGTCTTCTTGGCCTCTGATTTTACAATTCCGTCAATATTAACTGAATCATTCGGGTTATGGCAGTCAACGAAGTCTACATTTCATCCTTAAAAGTTTTGTTGAAGCATCGTTGACTGTGTTCTCAGCTACAAAGGATCAGTCATCAAAGTTGATTGCTTGTCAAAGTGGCATTGAACAAACAGGTTTGGTAAGCCAATATACTGCCATATTTTCGCCGTTTCTTTTTCTATTTTTTGTCACTTTATCAGAAAGTGAAATAATGTGGATAAACGTAATTTTCATCAGATAGTGAAAAGGAAAAGTTTATTTTGAAACAAAAACAAAAACAAAAAAAATTGTCTGATTCTGGTATCTTTATTTCACAATTTATAAATGTTTGTATTTTTCAAAGTTCTCAGAAGTGACATTTTCTTTCTTAGTTTTGAGTTTACACTTCTGTTTTCTTCTCATGAATTCACTTTGAAGATCATAGTTCTTATATTGTTCTGATTCTGTTATTTTTGTCCAGTAACCCACACTGTAGCAAAATAATCTTCGCTTTAAAATCTGTAAAAATGAAACAGGAAATTCAGAAATCCAATACAACCTAAAAAAAGTAATACTTTTAAGCCGACATCATTGATTTTGATAATTGAACGTTAGCTGTATTATTTGTGGTCACGACGAAAGCAATAACTGGCTATTGCACTTTTTACTATTGATCAGTTTAAACTTCAAATAAATATTTATTTTTGCCTATCACCTTAGTTTTTTTACCTTTTCTTCAAAATGGAATACTTAGAAATTCTCATTTCGAAAACAATAAAAATGATTTTCTTTGCTTTTTTCTTCTACACCATCTTTTCGTCTGAGTGTAATACCTGTAATACCTTTTTGCTAGGACCAGGTAAAACGCGAGGATAAACCATTTAACGATGGAGTTAATTAATAGAAATAAATGCGGCTAACAAAACTTCCTTGGCACAGATTTGTTAATAATGGAGTTTGTTTTCAAAATTTCTACGTTTTAATTTCAACCAATTTTTCTGCATTTTTGAAATGGCGTCACCATTCGAAGCAGTGAATCGTTTACGCCATTGGCCAAACAAAACAACAACAACAACAACAACAACAATTTTGTTTTGATGCTTTTGCACAAATTATTCGTTCCATAAAACAGTGTAAATGCTTAAAGAACTTTAGATGTTTGCAGGAAAAAAAGCAACCCAGTTGACGCTCGCTATTTATTGCACAAACACAAACAAATATCGTTCCCAAGACAAGTCTTTATTAAGGAGAGGCATTCTTTTCCTTCTACATATTGCTTTTTTCTTCTTTGGATAAAAGGAAGACCGCAGAGGAAGAATTATATAGACTAATGATGGTTAAAAGTCTAAAATTTTTTATCTGACCAACCACTTGTGATTGTGTAAAAATTTTTGTTGCATACTGATTGCTTGAACATCGTATATTCAGAATAACGTGTGCAACTTATAATCTGTAATGTGTCATGGCATAGTGGAATTAAAATTTGTTGAAAGATAATTAATTTTCAGCAACTTCTTCAACACATTTGTTATGCCTTTTTTTTTTGTAGCTGTTTATTAGTTTCACTTCAAAAAACGTATCAATTGTTTTGAGCGTTTTTAGCTTTCACTGAGAATAGTCTTCTCATTTGGTTGGCATTGTTGATAGTACCTTCCAGAATTATTTGACGTAATAATTGTTGTGACTTTGTGCTTGTCAACTGCAATTTGCAGGCATAAAATAATAGCAATGTTTGACGTATGATTTTGACTATTAGCAAATGAGCGATCGTTTTCAGTCCGTTATTTGTATGCGATTTTTAGATGCTACTGGAATTCAGAAACCGCTTTGTGTAGTAGGATTTCAAATTTGGAAATTTTTTTTGGTTGATAAATAGCTGAAGCTGTTTGGCTGCTCTGATTTTTAGGAAAATATTTTGTCGAAATAAGTAGTTGAAGTTGTTTTTTATAATATACAAGTTAATGTTGGACTCATATTTTATAAAACTGATAACAAATACCCTGATTATTTTCAGTGCAAACGAGAACATTTAGTTCGCAGTGAACTTAACAAAGACTATCACTATATGGCACTCCATAATCAGTAATAGTTCAGTTGTCGTTCTCAAGAGCTTTTATTGCGGTTCTATGCTTGCTGATGCTGTTCATCTCACTGTTGTTCAATTTTCGCCGTTTCAAATTTTAAATCTCTTTCTTTTGCTGAGGATGAAAGACGTTAAACCGGCAGAAAATCAGTGGTAACTGTTTAGTAATAATTTATAAGTCACAAACATAGGTTCTGAATGTGGTATTTTATGTAGCTACTTGCATTTCTTTTTTGATGGTTCAAAAATCTGGTAAGCTAACCACTGGACCTAACTGCCTTTTACTACAATGGTTTTGTTACAGTTTTTCTACAATTCTGGCAGTACACTATGTTCAATTTTTGGCATATGTTGATTAATAGGTCTATTTAAACGTTGTATATAAAGATAAGAGGTCACTTCATTTAGCGCGTTATTTTTTTTGGGTATTTCATATCTTAAAATGTTAATTCTCTAAGAATACTTTTGATGAAAATCCAGAAAATTGACGTTGAAATAGCACTTATTTTTAGGGCTTGAAATCTTCTTTTGTAGAATTTTGTACAACAAAACACAATTTAAAGATTTTAAATACTAAATAAACCAAATTTACCAGTTCTTTAATGTCACATGTTTTGTCCTCTGAAGATTTTGCTTTGTGAAAAAAAAAAAAAAAAAAAAAAAAAAAAAAAAAA